CCCCACCCCGTTCCGCTTTCTGACGGACGCGGTGGCTTCGGCACCCACTACTAGGGAACCTGCGGAGTGGGCGGCGTGCGAGACTGAAAGTTCCAAGTCCACAGAAGTCCCGCGCGCGTCCCACAGCGTCTCGGGATTTCGGGGGTGACATGGGGGGCCAGGTGAGGGGCTCCCCGAGTCAGGACCAACCCGGCACCCCCGGGCAGCCTGCGCGGTGCGCTCCCCCGCCCTCGGTCACACGAACGCGCTTTCTCACCCGCGCGAGCCTCGGGCCTCGCCGCCGTCGTCGCGCCCGTGCCAGGGCCCCTAGCCCCAGTATGTCTCTTTTCATTTCCTAATTTAATATTTTTGTCCTTCCAAGTGCCCCTGTGTGGTGCGAAGCTTCGGCACAGATGGTCTCCCCACGCTTCCCCTGGTTGTCGCTCGCGGCGGCGGTGGCGCCCAGGGGCGGAGGGCAGGAGATGACCAGCTAGTCCCCCAAGCCTGGCTGCCGTGCGAGCTGCTCCCTCGCTGGTGGAATCCTCCGCCCCTCCAAAGACCTGAGCTTGGCGTTGCTTCCCAGCTCTCCTCCGGCTGCTTTCGGTTCTAGACTCTGGTTCTCAGCCTGAGTTCTCCTGCCTGCCTCTAGTGTAAATTCCACGAAGCTATAGCTTTGGGCTCCAGGAAAAGCGCGGGAGAATCATGCAGAGGAAGGACGCACACAGGTTGGAGTCATCTCCAAACAGCCCCAAGAGCCACTTAAAAAAATTCTTTAAGGTTGGTTTTGTTTTTGATTTTTGGAAAGCGTATTCACTTAGGTGGTTTTTATTAAGAGAAAAGCAAATAAAAGGTGCTCAAAATCTAGAGTTCTCCCGTTTGACTCACACATCGATTGCGCTTTCATAGTTAAACTATGGGGCAAAATGTTATCGAAATCCCTGTGAAGTTTTGTGAAGGCTGTGAGCGTTTTGAGAACGCTCTGTGGTCTGGCAAGAGGTGCTCCGCTGTGAGAAATTTGCAGGCAGAGAGGGCTTTCCGGCAAGGAGGGACAGATATTTAACTGGGAAAAGAGGTCATAGCTGCAGACATGGGAAAAGAAGAAAGAAAAGTGTATGGAGGGGCAGTGGAGAATGGAAGTTTTTGCAGAATTTAGTGGACCCTCAAGAGTTTGGGGAAGGTGCTGCACCTCAGCGGGAAGGCAGATGTTTGGCATTACTTTCTAGAACGCAGAAGGATCATCACCCCGTGCTACCGCAGGCTAAAGGTGTATTGTTTTTTATGACTTGGTCAGTCCCCTCCCCCTTTCGGTTTTTTATCTGCACACTTTGGGAAGAAGGAAACTCAGGTTCTCACAGCCGGCGGGCGGCATCTGAAGCCTTTCGGAAGAAAGGATCCCGCTAGACTCCCTAGCCTCCCGGACCCCACAGCCAGACTGACTCCTCATTGGGTCTCCTCTACTTTCTGCTGCCCACCTTTTTGTTGCTGGCAGCCCTCTCTTGCTCCCACCTCTGCCCCCCATCCCTCACTCCACCAAACGGCCACACTTCCCCTTGGTCTTTCCGGGGCTTCCCTATGCAACTGTTTAATTTTGTGCAATTCCTTTGCATTTTCCATGAGGTATGGTCGTGGGGAGGATCTTTCGAGTCCCTCCAATGAAGGCAGACCTGAGCACGGGCCCTTCGTGTGCATGAAGCAAGCCTTCCGATTGCAGAGGAGTCCATCGAATCCTAAGTGGGAAGGTAAAGCAGGCAGAACTAGGGCTTGAATGGACATCGTGGATCTCACAGGAGAAAGCGTGGAATCTGGACGCGTTGGCCCAGCCCTGGGTGGGCTACGGTCCCAGGGCTAGGGAGGTGCAAGGCTGGCTTGTCCAGGGAAGGTGTAGGCTCTGTGTCTCCCTTGGCGCAGGCTGCGCTCGAATTTCGTTTTGAATTTGAAGCAAAGATTTGGACGGAAGGGCCAGGAGGCTATGGAAGCCTGCACTAATTTTCTCCACTGCCGAAATAATGCCCTTGAGTAGATTCTGAGGTTCATCCTTTAAAAAACTGCTTAGAAAGGACAGATTAAAAAAAATTTTTTTTAAAGTAATGGTGGAAAACAAAAGGCGGGTTTCTCTTCCGGACTTACCTGCTCCCTTCCCCCTTTTGCCTCTCTACACTCAGATCAGAAACCTATGATTGTTCTTACTTACTGTGGCAAGTTTAATGAAAGCATTTACATTTTATGCCCTAGCAGCAACAAAATATTTATTTCAAAGTGACAGTGGGTCAACGGGATATTTTCACAGATGAGAAGCAGGATGTAGGCTCTTCTTGTGCCCAGGTTAGTACACAGATATATACAACAGAGGTGTGGACTCTGACTCAGGCACCAGGCACACACATACTTATTATCACATGACCACTGTCTATTAAATTATTGTAATACCTAAACACTATTGCAAAAACAAAAGTTGATTTTCTCCCCTGTAATTAAATCTAATTTGTTAATTGTCTTTCCTTTTACAATGTTGTTTTCATCTTGAGGAGACACGTTATTATTTTGTCTGCTTAATAATATTATTTACAAATTAATACTGTATATTTTACATTAGTGGAACATATAATTAGGTGTTTGATTTAATTTGTATCATTTATTCAGATAAAACAGAAAGCCTATGCAAGATTGATTTGACAAGGAAAGGTTGAATAGTTGGTTCTAATTTAACATCAGTGTCAAGTTGAAGCTACCTAGCTCTAGATGCACAAAAGGCTGTTTTACATAAGGTGCATTTGACATTTTGTTTACAGTGTGTTTATTTTTCCAGCCACTTGATGCAAAACAGTCATTCAAATATTAGGGCTTTCATTTTCCGTCTCCTTTCATTTTTTTCTTTTTCTCCAAGTTGCCTTTACCTATTTGGCATCTTCCTCCCTCTAGTTCTTTCCCCACCCCACAACTTTTGTTTTAGGTCCTTGGGGTTAAATTCAGCATGATGTTGTATCTTTAATGCTGTGACAAGTGACCACTAATTGGTTCTCACTTGAGCAAAGATATTACCATACTAATATTATTATTGGTAAGAAGAGGTAATTGATAACACCACCTGCCACTCTGGGGCAATCACGATGATAAATGTTTCCATCAACAGGAAATCTGTGCTTGGTGTACCACAGCCCCACGCAAACAGCATGTCAAGTGCCAATTATAAAGATGTTGCTTTTCTGTTACATTGGGGGGGTGCCACAAAACATGTAGGTAAATTTTTAATTGTGTTTTTTTAAAAACATGTTTTATCCAAGCTTCTGTTCATCTAGTTGAAGTTAACTTTCTCCAGAAAAATAAAAAGCCCTGCTTAAATGAACTGGTGAATAGATAACTGCCCTGCCTGTACTGACTACAACTTCTGATCTCCTTGCATTTAAAGCCATTGAGATAAATATTCTCCAATATCTTTAATAGGTAGGAACCATATATATGGTGTATAAATCCTTTGTGGTCTGTGTGCTGTGAAGCCTGCCTGTATTTGGAGTACAGGACACTGCAATTTCACTGTAGGTACCACAGTCAAGCATTCCATGGCATTTTTTTATGGCACAAGAGAGAAATATCGGCACATATCCAGGGTCTTCACACTTAGGGATGCAAGTCATCTGAAGTACTTCTCCCCTGACTGAACTTTGTATGTGGGCTGTATGTGGCACAGAAGGGGCACTTCAGCATGTATGATTATATAAATAATGCTGGGGAGCTAAAACTTTGACTCTTTTGCCTCTGGGGAGGCTCAAATGATTATTATTAGCTTGCATTAATAGATGCAGGCCTCAAAAGGTGAAATCAGCTATTGATAATTGCAAGAAGTATACAGCAGCTACTGTATCGATCGGCTTGTCCCTTATTCCCCT